AGGAGAAAAGCGCAATCCTCGATAAGAGGAAGAGTCAATTGATTTGCGGCCGGTGCCTCATTTATATTTACACGTATATAGGATACGTGCTAAAGTAACGTATATGTGTGCTCGGCTCGGCGCCACGGGCAGCATTCCGTCGTTTCCGGCACGATGACGCGCGTGTCGCTTACCGTACACGCGCTCCTCGCCTCGATTTTTGTCTTATCGGCGTTTCCTTCGTCCGCCGCTTGAGCGAGAGTTAAACGTAATATGTATTATGCTCTTCAATTATTGCGTCTTGCCAAATTGGACGAACAAGCAATGGGGCCCCTTCGGAGAGGTGGTGGCGATGTAAATCGGGGATTTCGGCGAATCGATTTCGGGGAGCGCGAAGTTTTTTCAAAAATCCTTACCACCCACAGCACGGCCGATAAATCATTAACTTTTACGAGCCGATCTAAGACAAATGCGCGCCTGATTATCCGAGCCGGAGGGAGGGAGCGCCCCCGAGCGATCGTAAAATTCGAGCTGCTCCCGAACGCGCTCCTGGGATATCGGCTACACGCCAATAATTACAAATCAGCGAGAAAAGAGGGATACGGAGTGGGGGGGGGGGGGCGAGCTGTTTTGCGCGCGTGTGGGCTCTCGACTTTTTTTCGACTTTCGTCGTCCTCGTCGTCGTCTCCCTTGATTGTTTTTCGCTGTCTCTCCGCCTCCTAATAATGCCTAAGCTTTTTTTTTTTTATCCTTTGACTCGTTGCGTTAATGAAGTTTTGCCGTCACGATGGGCTGGAATTACATGTTTAAGATGAATATGAGTCTTTTCGACCGCAAACTGGAGAAACTTACGATCCACAGTAAGATGTTTATTGCTCTATTTCTTTTTTTTTTTTTTTTTTTTTATTCATGAGCATGCCGATTGATATGGAAATTTTAAGTATATATTCTATAATCACCAATAGTAGTAAATTTGAATTATACTAGTTGTGAAATCTTTAAAATAACCATACTCTCTACAAAAGTAAAATTTGTTTACGTTTATTATATGAGAAGCTTAAAAATAGTTTTTGTTTGATAAAGTAGTAAGCTTTTTAGATGTCATGCTATCGGTCGGTACGAGTGTTATCTATTTATCTAGGTAAGGTAACGCACGATGTATTGACATGGGGTATGAACAGTTTTAACCTACGTTACCAACGGAAGGTAGTAAATTTTTTGTTGGTATAAATGCTAGCTTAAGATAATCGTTAAATGTTGATGCTCTTCAACAAATCGCATCTAAACAAGGAATTTTTTATTGATAATTTTAGTATAGATCATTATTTATCACTAAACCGAAGAAAAGTTAATTCTGAAGTATCATGAGTAATTATGAATTTTCAAGTAAAAATTAGTCAACAATCAATAGATAAACAATCTCCCGTTCATGTGGAACTTTTTTTTACATCTCTCAGGACCCGGTTATAAAAAGTATGGGTTCTCAAATCCCAAAACTAGAAAAACGATTAAAATCCTAGATCTGCATACACCAAATTGTTGATCGATTGATTCAGAGTAGAAAATTGATAAACAAGAGAGTACCTATAACTATGTATGTCATCGTTTTTAAGTTCAATATGGTAACAAAAGTGTGTAAAATGTAAGTTTTACTTAAGGTATTCATAAGATATCAAATTTTTAATTTTATTGCATTACTAAAGTATAATTTAAACATTAATAGCTAGTCATAAACTAAATAATAAAGTACATACTTTTTTACAACTTTGCTTACTTTCCCATTTAAATCGAGTCCAAGGTAGCATGAATGGTAAATTCCAGTTAATGGAAACATTAATTTTCAGATTCTATTTGGTGTACTGTGGGGGGGAGGGTTGTGATTCGGGTATTAAACTCTATGTAACGTAGTGAAATAAAAATCATTTCAAAATTTTCTTTTCAATCTCTTGGTATCGCACATGTCTAATATACATTCACAATAAAAGACGAATTTCTACCTGTGTATTTTTTTCTATCGTACTATTTGCGATATTTGTATATTATTTATAGGGATACAGCAATTTTAAGGTTTCGATTACTTTTAGTTCAAAAATATCTATTATATTATATTACATATCTATTATATGGCATCGATATATTACAAGTACTAAAATTTTACATTATGGTGTACAACACTGCCGATACCCAAATTTACTTATCCAATTTAAAAGCCATGTTCTAAATATTTAAATTGAAAGTATTGAAATGAAAGCCACAGTTTACCACGTGGGAGAATGATGGGTTTAAATATGTCTATAAATTCAATGTAGAGCTGTTTAGTATATAGACATCCTTTTTTAGGAAGGGGCCGTAACCAATTTTATCACCAAAGTCTTTGCGACAACATTGCTTTATTATATTTTTATTACGTTACGCTCATATCAAAAGCACCAATCATAAGAAAGTTTTGTATTCTTTCAACGAGTTTCATAAATAAAATAAATTATTCTATCAACATCTCATTTTATCATTGTAACTTTCAATGGTGTATATTTTATTGATATATTGTTGTGTTGCTGTTATAACTTTCCACACCAATTGGAAATTGGATATCTTATTGACAAACTCAGTAATAATTGAAAGGGACTGTCGAAAAAATAGTTCGAAGTAGAAAGACTATTTTTTTTTGCTCGTAAAATTTCGCTAAAAAATTGAGTACATTTCATTGTAAATAAGAATATTTCATTGTAATAATCATCACTACATCGACTGACTGTATTATAAAGCAACTTTTTCTAAAAAACCTCATTAGCAAGCAACTGGCTAATTGTCAGACCTATACTGTCCATGGAAAATTGTATCTCGGTCCTTGCCACCACAACTGGTTGGACCATTCACGAAAAAAAATTACAACGAATGCATCCCAGAAAATATCTAGAGGAAAATTTTAAAACCCACCCTCGCCGTTGGAAGAATCATCCCGCCCGCACATTTACGCACAACACATACAGTGCACGATCCTTTCGCGCAAGTTGGCGCGACCCCATAATAATATATCCCTCGGAATGGAGATGATGATCAACTTCGGTAATCAGCAGATGGTAATGCGTAGAGCACAATAGCAGAGGAGACGAGAGTCGGACCCAATGAAGGGTACATGCATACATGCGTGTGTGGTTGAGGCTATACTGTACAAAACGAAGAGAGCGGCGATCTTATCGCATCGCGCACGGGGCCAAGGGGGAGATGACGGATCATCACCGTCATCGGGATTGCTCCTATCCCAGCCGGGTGCGATGCTCATCTTTCGCCCCGCGTATACATACACAATCCAGCCAGTTCTGCGTACGCGAGAGCCCGTCCGTTGACGGGGGGGATGATGCTTTCGAGGGGGTCGCTCTTCATTAGGACAATCTGAAAGCTTTTATCGCATTTTTTTCTCTCTCTCTCTTTCTCTCTCTCTTTTGCATTGGTTGCCGGTCCGCGCACCAACTCTCTTTATTACCCTCGGATGCAGTGTTGGGTTACACGAGGATCCCAGCTGGTAAGGGCGAACGTTGCCATAATAATAACAATGATGCCACGGGGCGGAGGATGTTTTCTCTGTAGCGCGCGTATTATTTTTTTATGAATTTTGAATTTGAAGTGCAAAAATAGTTACTTCAACCCAGCCCCCCCCCCTCACCGCATCGTCATGCAAATACAATGTACGAGGTCACTCGATTCACTTTGCATGCGTAATACCCTGCACGTTTATTTACATACGAATCGAAGGCAACATTTGCTCTCTCCCCGTCCCTCCCGGCTGCCTTTTATTTTAAGAGACTCTTCATCTTACGTAACCAGGCTTGGAATATATATATATATATAAGCAGATTGTCCGCGGCGGATTAGTGGTCGATGGGGGGAGAGTTCCAAATGGGGGAGCCGAAAAATGATAAAAGCAACTTTGACGTTCGAAGCACATGACAGCGGTAATACCCGATGATAACGTTCGAGCTGTAAGTCTAATGGACGCGCCAAGATATACCACGTGAAAAAATACATTCATGGCAAGAACACGTGTATCACAGTCGATCCTCTGAAAAATTAATCAGTATGATTGAGCCACGCGCGCGCGTGTACAAACAATGCAAAACCAATCAAGGACCGCCCTCTTTTTTTTTTTTTTTTTTTTTTTTTTCTCTCTTCCCCACAGAGCTAATATTTTGAGCGCAATTACAAATTAATACTGTCGGTGTTTGCCGGCGTGCGACGCGGCTAAAAGATGCAGGAGAGTGGTACGTTGTGTAGCCGTGGAAAAAAGAAAAAAATAGTTGCGTTGTGCAAAACGTAAGACGAGACTGTACTCCGCACAAAGCCCACGCGTCAAAGTAATTTCGCCGGGCGGCACGCGCCGGTGGCACGCGCCGAGCAATCTAAATCTAATAAAGCAAACAGCCCCCGCGCCCATAGACGGCTGGATCTGCGTGTGCAGCTCCCGATCGCTCGTGTAACGAGACACCATGTGAACTAATCGCTCTGAAGTGGCCCTCCTCGGCCCAAGTGGCCTGCACCACTAGTTGTGTGTTGTCGTTGTATCCTGTTTCGCTGTACACCCGTGCGGTGCATTCGACCCTCGTATACATGCTTGAGCTTTATTTTACCGATCGATTAGCAGATATTGTTTTGAGGTAATCATTGTACACTGGGAGCTGGGGGGGTGTAGGTATGTTGGGTTGTGGAGGAAAAAAAAAAACCATTCGACACGTAAGAGTTCAAAATGTTTAATTCCCAAAAAAGTTTTTTTCGCTTATAGTTTAATATACATCAACAAGGTTCTCCCCGTCCCTTTACTTTTTTAGTATCATTACCATTATAATTATTATTATTATTATAATTATTATNACATAATTTTCTTGTGAAACTGTGAAAAAAGTTTTACTTGTACATGAAATTTATTTACATCTATAAATAAATGTTAAGCAATCATAATTTTGACTTGGTTTTTTATTACATATTTTTTTAATTCCACACAATATAATTTCTACAGTTATTATTGCTTATCATTTTCGTGTTCCAAAAAATGGACTTATATTCGTAACGGCTTTGTGCGTGGATTAGGGGGTAAATAAAGATTCACGAGGAACAAAAAGAAAAACAACTTTGAATCGAGAAAACTTAACGAAAGAAATCGGGGTTTCCGTCTCCTTTTCTACAGACTGTAAACGAACAAATAATACAATCTCCACTGCGTTTTTGCTTACTTTACACGTCTATTGGTTACATTGGTAGCATTAAATGGGCGACTAATTTTCTCGGTACTTCCTAGGCTAGAAAAAATAAAAATATGAATTCGAATACCTACAGTGTGACTCCGTACTTGTATTTTTTTTTTTTTTCTTTGTTCCTCTTTCGTATACTTTCATAAGTTCTGTGCAAGTTTGGACCGATTTATCAAACAATCCGATTTGATACGTACGATTTATTTTTTTATTTTTATTTATCATACATTATTCGAGACCCTGCGTAGATCGCAACATGCTCTCGCTAAAACTTACGAATTTAAACTATCACCCGTCGATTGAACATTTTTTTTTTGTTTTTTTTTTTTTTTTTTTTATTTATAAATTCCTTGAAAATCCAGACATCCTGAATTTTCCGACGTACTTTAATACGGAAAGTTTTCGACTATCAAAAGGAAGAACGAACATAGAAAAAAAGCACCGCGAAGCACGCAGAGTCCCTTACATAAAAGATAAGCTTAATGTTACGATTCTAGGATTATGTACATCTATGTATAGATAATTCATGATTACTTTGTTATTTCGCTTAAAAATTTTTTTTTCTCTCTCTCCACTGCGCAACGGACACTCGGGTCTCGTCTCGATCGTACTTTCACATGCCTTTTTTTGTACATCGCAACAATATTTACAAATGTAATGTACAACGTTACAGTCTATTTTTTTACTGTTTCTTCGTAACATGTATATATTATTATACGAACGCATTCATCGTAACTCACTACAAAATTATCGATACTTAGTGTCAGACGCACTTTGTTTTTTTTTTTTTTTACTTTTCATACGAGGCCAAAAAGTGGGGAGGAGGAGACGTTCACGTCTTTGCCGTTTACAAGCGATTTTTTGAAGTTACTCATTGGTGAGTGATACGTCCGTCTTTAGCTGCTCTCCAGAGTTCGCGAAATTCCCCTTCCTCGTGAAACATTCAAGGCCTCCCCCGTCCCCTTAATCTCGTAAATATACCATTCGATATTGTTCTCGTTGTCACACGAGTCCAGTGCTTTTGAATTCAAATAAAAAAAAGGTACTTGCCTCGTCTAAAAAAAAAAAGCATCGTCCATGAAAAATTCATGTAACCTTTATCGTAGCACTGTCAAGAAAGACTGGAGTTTTTTTACTTTTTTTTTGTTTCCCTGTATTTCCGAAAAAACGAGTAATTTATTGTATGAAACGTCGCGGTGTTACGTTATTTTTCAATTGGAATACTACGATGTCGATACTTATGCCGCTGCACAATGAAAACGAAATAATCCGACGAAAGTTCATCCTGACCTTTTCTCGATACACACTGGATATGTATAAATTTTTCTACTATACGCTACAGTACTTGAATCTGCCTCATGTCAAACTCTCGCGTACTTTATTTATCATCGGACTTGCATTTGCGTCACGTTTGCGTTACTGTTACATTTGTCTGGGTTAAATACAATAACAATAGTTTCTTATATGCTCGTGTTCTCATACCGCGTTACAGAGTTTGTAAATTCATCCACAACAACACTCGTTTAGGTATACGCATATATTCGTTCGTAAATAAAATCCATTGAAGCAAATGACGTTTCATGAGTTAATTAAAAAAAAAAAAATCCCCACTAGATAAAATAATTAAACGCGTTGATATAAATATAAAAAAGAAAATTAAGTCACGAAAAAAAAAAAGTTTTTCAACTTTCTCGTAAACAGCACTCGACCCTCGAGTATAGGTAAGCGCAAAGAAAAAACCGCGAAACGGGCTCTCATCTGGTCGTGCGTTCATATTCTGTACAGATAAAGTTTGCCCCTCACTCTGACGCGTCTCGAGTGAGAGACAACAACAATAACAACAACAAGCAAAGCCCTTTTTGAGCTTATCATGCGAGCGACGGCTCTACTTGCCGCTCGAGGATGAAAGCAGCGGGCTGTTGGCCGCGGAGTGATAGCCTTGGCTGCAGGTCGGCAGCATGAACGGGTTCATGTTGAACGGCGAGCCAACGACGTCACCTAGCCCTGTAACATGCCCACTGTGTTGGTTTTTACTTTAGTCATTGTTTGGTGTGGCAGTGGCATTGCTTTTTTCTTTTTTTTTTTTTTTTTTTTTTTTTTTTTTTTTTCTTCACGCGTGACGAGTTGCGAACATCTTACAACAATTATGAAAAACAATGATACGTATGTGATGTGTAGGACAACGTACAGCAAAGCCGCAAACATAACGAAAATTTCGTGTGAAGTAGCGATCATGCATGTGACAATTGATATGGTGGAAACACAAAGTACTCGAATGGATGAGCTTTTAATGTTTTTTTTTTTTTTTTTTTTTCCAATGTCGTGCTCTTTATGAAATGAGGTATGATATGACAACATGATTGCACGTGCGGGGGTGTCTTTAGTATTAATAATGAGTTGCAATTACTGTTGGTCTTTTTTTTTTTTTTTTTTTTTTTTTTCGTGTCTTGTTAGGTCTTTAATTGATTTTACTGGGCTGCCGTAGCTAGGTGGTGCTGTGTGGACCAGTGCTGTGGGACCGAGTTGGTCGGCGGTCGGACTACGGGAGCGAAAGCACTGCTGTCCCCGGCCGAATAGAAAATTCCGTACTGTTCGTGCGCTAAAACGAAAAACAATCCACAAGGAAAAATCATAAGTTACGGCCAACGAGAGACGGCAGCTCTGTATACGTAAACACAAGCTTGGCATGTATGGTATCGTGGGCATGCATTTTTATGATTTCATCAGATGACGATTTAACGATTTACTGCGACACATTGCACTCAGTTTTCGCTTAGCTCTCCTGTATGGAAAAAAAAAAAGAAAAAAAAAAGATTCCGAGAGGCTCTAATTTATACTTTCGTTCAATGATCGAGATGAACACATTGGACACGTAATGAGGTGAAGAAAATGCGTGAACTTGAGCGTCGACAATAAACACAGCCAAGCAAGCAAATACGTATGTATGCAAAGTTCGCATGGTGATGAGTAAGCAAATGCAAGAGCCAAATGTATGAAGTGAAAAAAAAAAAAGAGAAAAAAAACAAGAGACCATGTCCATAAAAACAGTGACAACTTACGCGAGGTGTACAGCGTGGGACTGCCGGCGTAGGGATTAGCCACGGAGTAGCTGCCGGTGGTGCTGTGGCTGTGGGGCGTGCTGGCCGAGCTCCCGCAGTATCCGCTCCCGTTGCCGTTGCTGGCGGCGCTCGAGACCACCCCCCGGGGACTGGCGCTACTGCTCTGGCGATAGGCGTCAGCGCTACCGGGCCCGCTGCTACCGCCGGCTCCACCACCAGCCGAGCCGTTGGTGCTCGCTGTGCCCCCGCTGCTCGCGCTCGCCCCGCTTCCAGCGCCCGTCGTCACGGAAGCTCCGTCTGGGCGCCAAAGTCAAATGGGTAAGGTTGCTGTTGGTGGTGCACCGCCTCTCTCGCGTGATTGGACTCCCAGCAACTAGCGCCGTACTCACCGTCGGTCCACTTTGCGGAGGAGCCGTTCTCTTGGACCGTGACCGCCAGCTGGCCGGTGTACGAGTTGAAGCCCGTGCCCGCGGATGTGCCCGTGGTGGGAGGCTGTTGTTGCTGCTGTTGCTGAGACCCATGACTGGAGCCCGGGCTTCGGGGTGCCGATGGGTTGGCGCGGGGCACGTTGTACAGGGCCTCGGCGAGATCGGCCGCTCGTTTCAGGATTATCTCCTTGGAGAGCTTATCCGGGTCTCCTGGGTGTCGGGGTATCAGCTTCTGCAGCCTTTCGAAGCCGTAGGCAATCGTCGGCTCGTTCGTCGCTGCTTGGGAAAAAGGGGTAGGGTGAGTTTTTTCGGACCGTTTTTCGAAAAAAATGTTACGGGAACGAGTTTGTTCTTGATCATAAAAAAAAAAAAAAAAAAAACAAGCGAAATAAAGCCTGTGGTACGGAAATTACTATCTCTGAATTTTTAAACTTTACAATTTATTGATTTTACGAAACGATTCCTCACTGCATTTTATTCTTGAATGAATCGTTTCAGCAGTCGTTTTATCACGTAATGAGGCTCCACATGCCCTTTTCTTACTTAAAAAGCTCGTATTGGTAAACTATTAGGTTTTTCTTTGATCTATGAACTATGATAAAAAATTTTAAACCTAAACTGTGGAAATTTTAGATTCTGAAAGAGTAGTATCACGTTAAATTTATTTTGTACAGTTACATGTGAGTCCAAGACCAATGAATAAATTAAGCTATACGTTAATGCCAAGAGAGTTTAGTTATCCTCTCTACGATGCTTTATTCGTAGGACAAGATACATAACGGACAACCTTTGAATTGAATGGCACACATGAAAATCGGCCCGTATAAGGGTAACAATAATATTTATCGCCCGAGCCCGTATCACCTATGTATGATTCGCAATACTCACAAACGTAGACGAATCTGCCCGGCGAGCCCTTGCAGAACTGCTTGCCCTTGTACGACAGCAGCACCTCGACGACACCGGGACTGCGCTGCGGCGGCGACTGTACCCTTATGGCGTGTGGCGTTATCAGCTGCGCGAGGACAACAAAAACCAAAAGGCAGGGCGTCAAAATTTATCGCAACACGTTGCGCGCGAGGAAAGGCATTCGAGTATGTGTATTATCTCTCTGTGCAAATCCGCAGATATAATATCTCTCTCGCATCGTGAGAGAGCAGGACTCACCTCACCCCACACCAGTATGGAGCCAAAGACAACTTGGAGTCCATCGAAGAAGTTATCACCGATGATTATGACCGTCGACCCTCCGCTGAGCCAACCCTCGCTCGGCGATAGCGCCTTTATGCAGGGCGTCGCCATTTGCAGGGGCGGATACAGACCTAAGGAGACAAAAGACGCGCTGTCGTTGTTATCATTATCATTACCACTGTGTATATTATATACCTACGTCCAAATTAAACGAATCGCCGATAAGGATGCCCCGATGGGGTAAAGGAGAGGAAAAAAAAAGTAACTCGAAAGAGGCCGGTGCCCCCGAAACGAAGAAACGTCATAGTGGCGGCGTATCGGCGGACCCGCGCGTAAAATTACCAAAATATATCCTGTTTATTCGCTCCCCAGGCCACACAGCTCCGAAGGTGTGCTTCCCCAGTCAGACGGGGTGTATCAGCTCTATCTTTTCCCGAAAAAGGCGAGGGCGGCAATGTATGCGAACGCGTGCAGGGGTGAAAGGAGAGGGCGATCGGACCCACCGGTGTCTCCGCTCGGAATTTATAACCCAATGATATCATTTTGTATACCCCCCCCCCCTCCCGGCGAACCGTTCTCCCTCCCTCCCACGGTGTTTCTCTCGGTGGGTGCGCGTAGGTGGCGAGAAAGAGGCGAGGATCGGCAGTGAAAGAATAACGAAGACCGAGGCATTTGCATACGGAGATAGCGCCGGTGGAAAACTGTGCAACCTATATACAGCAAAGTCAACTGCAGTAAACATTCGGAGGAGTACTTGTTTTACACTTGCAGTTCGATCGTTGATGTATGGCGTTCATGCACGGCAATGACCCGATAGTCGATATTGAGATTAAAAAGGTAGACGCGCAGGGGCGAGGGGGAGACAAAAGCCGGGAAAAAAAATAATCAAAATAAGGAGGGCTCGAGGAGAAAAGTTTTTGTGTACACGGAAAGAGAGATATGGAGAGGGAGAGCGGCTGACATAATGGTATATTGCCGTGGGTGCCAGTGACTCTCAAATGTTCCGCGAATACAATAAATCTCTCTCTCGGGCCTCCCCCCTCCTCGCCCTCCTTAACAAACTGCCGCGCGAATCGTTTGTTCGGGGTTGCGGCACTTTGCACGGGTTTATGCGGGAGATTACACGCCGATCGCGAGCCCACGGAAATTAATATTTATGTGCGCTCGGGATTATTTTCCGCGGAAAATTCGCTCGGGGGGTATCGCTCTAATTGAAATATTATGCTGATTTTGCCGGGCAACCCGCGGGAGGTTAATCATTTTAAAAAAAATTTTTTTGTTTTAGTTGGAGTGGACGATTCAAATGTTTATTTATCTGTAATTAGGTGGTACAAAGGGTAAAAAAAAAGCTCGAGAGCAACGAGTTCCAAATAGGGTGATGGTACGTGGCCCACGAAAATCTTGGGTTCTTAGCCTACACCGAGTTAGCGGTTCGACCCCTTCCGGTACACAGTCGAGGGGGAGAAAAAATTTTTTTTTTCATTCGCATCGTAAAATCGATATGGAATCGTATATGAAAAAAAGAAAGTCTAAAAATATTCCACAGCCGCATTCTACAATCCAAGTGTATAAACGATAAGAATCCGGAGGGGGGACGGAAAAAAAAGCGTGAGCTCCGGCTTTTAAATTTACTCTTCGGCTTCTCGTGGCAACCTTATTTTTCCCCGAGCATCTTACGCATCCGTACAAAGTTACTACATAATTCGTCGCGCGTCACGGGCCATGACTCGAACGGCAGAGGCGGCAGGAGACGGGGAGGAGGCACGATAAAGCAGAGTATAGGGGAGGTGGAGGAGGGAATCTCGTTTGTCGAGGCTAGGGTGCTTTTTGTCGCTGATCGAGGAAAGCGCGCCCCGCATATCTTACACGTATAGGTACACACACACCGCGCCTCTCTCGCTCGCTTTACAATTAAATTGCTCGGCAGCCGCGACTATAAACAGAATTAGAGGGTGTCGTTATAGAGCGAAGCCCCTCTCGTCTCAAACGATTTCCTCTCTATATACACACGCCATACGCGCGTAGCTTTTTCCAAGCGTTGTACGCGCGTCAAATCTTTTTTTTTTATTGCGAGCGTCACTTTTAAGCGATCCTTGATGAGCACCTTATTTTTTTATTTTTTTTTTTTTTCACCTCGGAATAATTGATCGGTTTTAGCATTAAATTTTTTCCCCTCGCTCCCTTACCTTTTCGGACGGTAGCTTTCTCAGATGGGCAGACAGAGGTAAAAAAAAAAGAAAAGAGGACAAAGAGGCGCGGGTCTCCCGAAAAATTCGAGGGTGGCAGAAAAGGGAAACGGGGCAGTTCTCCGAGCCCCTCGCCTCCTACCGTTGATTTACATCTCGTCTTGCGGACGGCCGTGGGAGGAGCGAGGCGACGAGGGGCGCCGAGGCGATATCGGCCGTTTGTATGCGCGAGCGACGCCAAACTTTGCCGAATTGCCCTGCGACTCCTTTTTCCCTTCCCCTCCTGCTACTACCGGTCGTTATACCGATTCTACCGGATCACTCGCCCACCCCCTTATTTTTCTTCACCAAACTGCGTTTGTCTTTTTTACACTTTCGGCATTTTCACGGTCGCAAGAGGGATGGCTCGAACGTTCGCGCGCTGATTGCCCCGACCGTGAAAATGGCGCCGCGTGAAACGTCACGCGAGTCGCATGATTTTTGTACCCAAATAAAGTAAATATGACTCACCGTTGTAGTCGCTCGGGTCGCTCGGGTCTATCCGTTTCGCTCTGCGGCCATGTTTGCTGTTGTTGTGCACGAACATGTTGTCCGACACCGCCAGGAGTAGGCCGTCTACGCACACTTGGGTCGATATGACCACCTGAAACGATAAACCATGTATATTCTCATCCATCCGAATGGCTGGCCATGCGTAGTCTTGTACTACTTGAAATGTTAAACATTTTGTTTTTTTTGCAAAATTTTCCATTCCCTCGCACCGTCTTGGAAAACTAATGAAGAAAGTTAGCGAGGGCGCACTTTCGGCGATTCTCTCTTCAACTCAGTCCGCCCCTTTCGTCGGAAAGGATATACCGCGCGCGAGCAATGAAGGGGGTGCAGAGAGAACACCGGTCTAATTGCCACCCCGGCCGTCTAAATGACGACTAGCTCTTGGGTTGTTTTTCGCGCCAGGGTGTCTCTTGTGAAAGTTTTTATTTGAGTTCTCGCGGCTCTTGCTTCCGGCAAATTGATTTGGACTATTACAAACACGCTGGACTCACCTGGAAGCGTCTCATGTCCCTCGGGTTGCCGGCGTTCTTCAGGCAGTTTTGGTTGCACTTGAGGAAGAATTTTAAGAAGAACCTGAAACACAAAGAAAACGAGGGAAAAATATTAGCAACAGGAACTTTCTCACGTTGGTGACGTTTGGTCAATTCTAAGTTGGACCAAGGGAGGGGTTGGACCGAACGCATGGACCAAATCGTCGCCTCTGCGACACTGGTACTCTGTATTTAATCATCAGTATAGGTTTAAGTCGTATAGCTAACCGCTGAATATTTATAAAGCTAAAAAATTAGGGACACGCGTCAAATGACGTGTAATTTTAATTTTTTACTTTATTTGTTGGACTCCCGCGTAAAAAGTTTTGCGATCGTGGGCAAAAAAAGGGGTGAAAGGCGCGGCTTGGAGGGATAAAGAAGAGTACATAAACCGCGCGCCCGAGGTGTTCGACGGGAATAAGGGCGTAGGAAAAAGCCCGGGCGAGAAGAAAAGGAAAAATAAGGAGCCGAGAAAGAAAGAAAGGGAGCCTCCGCGCCAGCCTAAAAAGCCGGCGGCTCAATTTTCATGAATTATGTAGAATATCGGAGGGGGATATTGAATTCCGTGAGCATTTTTTCGGGAGTACCTACACCCTACAGCGCGCGAGGGATCGACGCGGAAAAAAAAATATACTAGAAATGTTATACGTGTGTGCCGTATGTAGAGTAGAGTGTACTCGTAAAGAGGAAAGGCGAAAATCGACAGAGTAAAAATACAACGCGTGAATATCGTGTCGGGGAAGAAAAAAAGGGGGGGTGACACGCTGTAAAAAAGAAATCAGCAAAGGAACCGAAAGTGAGCCAAAAAATACGCATATGAACCGTGCCCGTAAACGAATGAAACAAGACAAAGGTTACAGAGCCCATGTACCTTCCCGTGAAAAAAACCAAACACATACTTTTAATTTGCACCGACTTATCCTACTTAGCTCTCCGTAACGCGCCACACCTGTGGGAACTTTCAATTACCGAAAAAACAAAGAACTCGCATCGTAACCGGCAAACGACGAGCTTTGAACAGCGGGCAAGTTGTCATTGCGTGAATAAACAGTATACGTAGAATGGAGCCGTACATACAGAGGCACCGAGGAACAACCGAAACGAAAAGGCAGCAGATACGGCACGCCGTTACACACTCCATGGAACGCGCGTGTAGGCGCGCATTTAATTCCGTTTGCTCCCGGGGAGGAGGGCGTTAAGATTCTATCGAGCTGCCGGATGGGGGTGCGCTACCGTCGGATAGGTACACTCGTACGCGGCATTGTGTACACGCGCGCCGGGGACTCTTGCGTATCGGAGGCGCAAATCTCGCCCCGAACTACGTGTGCACATATATAGCCTCGAGGCGGTGGCTCACTTCCTATCTCCAGATACGTATAGGCACGCACACGGAATTCCATCCGAAGCGATGTGTTGTGCAACGATTGGCCTTTGTTCGCGAAAATTCGCCCGTGGAAATTTTAACGTGCATTCACGAATACTGTTTATTCTTCTCTTATGCTTTAGAGGATCTATGTGGGCTGTGGGGATGAAAAAAAAAAAAAAAAAAGATGTCAAGATCATCGTCTCGGCAACATCGGCTGTCAGAAGCGATCAGAAGACAACACGCCGAAGAGCAGTGTCTAATCAGGGAGGGGGGGGCTCGGATGAAAGGGATCACCGGGGTCAGAGCTAATAGCGAGCGACACCCCCGAGCACGGCCAACTAGTCGTACGTGTGCGCTTTTTTTCCCTCCACTTTTCTCTCTGCACGCGTCGCGCGAGAAAGTATTGGCTGTTAAGAGGTTGCGCGGAGCGCGGCTAATGGATTGCGTTACGGGCTTGATTCAAATGCGAACTGGATTTCGTTTTTCCCGGGGAAGATGAGAGAGGAGGAAGAAAAAAAAAAAAAAAAAAAAGAGGCGACATCGATACAACGCGTGCTCGCTCCGCTCGGGGTGTTAGTTTCCGGCCCGTGGGGGAATAAACTCGATTCCGCCGGGGTGTCTATTAGATTTTTATCCACTCGTAGTGGAGCTACCGGGGGCTCTGGAGTCATTTCGCATCATGCGCCGGCTGACGAGATTTTCGCGGAATTAGGGACGGCTCGTCCTTTTTCTTTTCACTTAGGGGCCGACGCTTGTAGCTCCGATTCTTGTTTAAAAAAAAAAAAATAGAAGGGAGTTGCTTTTAAAAAATGTACGCGGCACACGTATCGAGGGTATTTTCGTTTCGAAAAAAAAATTAAAAACGATCCGTCGGCATTTAACGAATCAGCGGAGCGTGAAATATGTACGCGTGCTCGAGCGGGGCAAAAACGACCGGGAGGAGTAGCATCTATCGGATATCGCTCGGAACGGCGTAAAAGAAAGGAAAAAAAAAGATGCGAATGGGGCAAGTGCTATAGGGCCACTTTTACGAGCCGCAGAGAGGAGGAGGCGGGAATTTTGCGATGTTCGGTAACGAAAACAAAAAAAAAAAAAAAAAGACGGAAGCGAATGGTGCACGAAAAAAACTCAACACGGCAAAAGTTGCCCCTAATACTGCCCTCTGATAAATTCAATCGAACCTCGCAATAAATCATCGGCACCGACGAGTTTCTGTTTGCACACTCTCCCTTGTACCAATTAACAGGAGCTGCTGCTACTGTTGTCGTCTCTTTGGAAAATAAAAAAAAACTACATCCATCGACTCCATTATCCGCGATTCTGGCACTTACGCCCCTCACGGATCGACATTTTTTCCCACCACTTACAAAGTTGGCTGTACATATATGTTGAATATTTCGATCGGAGTGTTTTTTACTTTCAAAATGAAAACTACAATAGTGTTTTAGAAATAGAGTCGCTCGTCCAACAAAAGTGAAACAAGACATCAGTGGGGCTTAGACGGGCATAATAGTAGCAAATGGGGCGATGGCGTAGGGTGTATCAAAAATCCATTATCTCCTGCGCCGAAGAATCTCTAATCACGTTTTGAAAAGCCCCCGGTAAGCCTCCCTCCCTCTGTTAGGAGTACAGTTCACTCTGGCTTCATTTTTATCTCCTGCATCACCTTTAAGATTCAATTTCTCATCTCGAAATTTGCGTCGAAAATTGGTGTATCACGTTCCGAACAACAAAAATCCCTTTCCATAGATCCACATGTTCTATCCTCGATCATCGGTACAATAGCTTTAGGTAAACATTTTGGGATCTCGTTGCGAATAAAGGGCCAATTTGTGCTATGCTTAAAACTCACGCATGGCAGCTGATCACCAATATTCTGCGTTTTTATATCCTTGCCAATATCCAATTACACCAAGGATGGCTGGGGAGTCTTTTCCAGCTATACTTGAAATGAGGTTTTCGAGTTGGCCGTCCGAAACCTTTCGATACACATACCGATCGATCACCGCGAAACCATCCGATGTACACAGTATAGCAGGAGGCTCGGGGCGATCCTCCGTGGAAATGCATAATGCAAGCCCAGCCAAGAGTCTCAATTAATAAGAACGTGTGCAGAGGCCGAGGCTCGCGCGATCGGTGCCTTACCCCTATCCTCTGTTGACGTATACATAGGTACACCTTAGCGATAATGCCGGGGGCTTAGTTTGTAGCGCTACCGGTACACCGGTGTACGGGTATAGGGTACCAGGGGATGCTTAATGTTTAACCAGCTTCCATTACGCCTCCTTGCGCCGTCGAATTTACACCAAGTTTGCATTTACCGTTCCTCGAGCCAAATTTAACTTGGCCTACAAGACCGTGTGTTCGAGCACCTTGTAACAACCATCTACGATAAAAAAAAAAAAAAAAAAGAGACGTGGAGGCAGGCGATCATTCATCACCGGGAAATTACCCAGAGGGAGAAAAAAAAAAAAGGGGGCGGACGATAGTCGCCCTAAGCCATTTAGCTGGCGTAATCAGCTTCGACTGTAGGCAAGTACTTAGCCACTGACTGGGTTAAGCCCCCCCGCCGTCTTGCTGCTGACCGAGGCACATCCCTCTCGTCGTTCTCGGCGAGCGCGTGTCTTCTTTCGGAGCGTAATTACGAGGGCATGCAAGGTAGATTAGACACAGCCGGTGCTCTGTATATATAGGTACAGGTCCCACGGGGGACTAGCTGCTGCACCGGCTCTCTGCTTCGCGAAAAGAGAGCAGGTCTCGGTCTATATTCGGCAGTGGAAGAGACGACCGGCTTCTCTCGCGAGCCGCTGCATAATTCATGGCTAAGTAATACGTTTTGCGCTGAGCACGGTTGGTAGGGTGGGAGGGGGGTAAGGGGGGGGAGGAAGGAGGTTACGCGTGCGGCCACTTATCCGTACGCGCGTATAACTATGTATAGTTACGGTCCGGAGGCTCCTCCTTGGAATTCCCCTAATGGCAGTCCATCACATTAGTCGCGAGACGGCAGCTGCCTTGCATCAGCGGGGCATAACACTGCACACCTGGTACGGTAGAGCAGGTTCATATATATATAGGACTTGCTGAGGAGGCGGGGCCGATTTACCACGAATTAGAGCGATTTACGCGACGTTCGGTTATCTCTGCCCGCGCTAACATCGGAGAGTGCAGGTATGTTTATGGGGAGTTGGTTTGGTGGATACAACGAACGGCTTAATAGCTGGCGGTTTACGTGTCGAGGGACGACCGTGATAATATATACATGCTCTCCACGGACGCGTGGCTCATCTCCATATGAGGGGGGGGGGGATTGTGGATTTTTCCAATTAATCGACAAATCGGCGTTATATTCTTACAGGGACAATCTGGATATCCCTGGGATGGGGCTATAGAGAAATCAGAGGACGCGCAGTGATATTGTACGTCTCGTGCCATATAGGTATATTTACATGCATGCGTTTACGGTATAGTCTCGTTCTTGCCCAAGGCGACGCGATAGCGTATACCAAGCAATTTTACCGTCGTTGCAGAGGGCGGGATTTAATCCGGAGAAAGGCCGAATTTAATCCTTTTCCGAGCCACACGCCACTTTCCGGATATAATGTGTATGATATACAAAGTCCAAGCCAAGCTCAGGGTAATCGGGTATTTTTCGAGCACTGGGTACGAAGGAGGAGTGA